CATGCTTGCCTTTATGACTCATGCATTAAGGGCGTAAAAGCCTGAAGGCTCATGGGTTTTGTCAGCAAGTTACATAAAGTGACAGAATGATGAATGTGTGGGGGAAAATTCCCGGTACAATTTTTCTGTTTATGGCAAAGTGTGGCAGGTCCCTAATAATGTCAAGTGCCAGGCCTGTCTCTAGGAGGAGGGATATCTGGTCAGGGAGGGAAGAGGTGTTGGTAACGGCTTGGGACCTGTAGGAGGAGGTCATAGGGCAAGTGAGGATGTAGTGAGAGACGATGTGAGAGTCGGGTAGACCACAAAGTTTACAAACAGTGCGGCTATGCTCAGGGTTGCCAATGTACTAGTTTTGGCGAGGTACAGTGGGGGTGGAGGTGATATGGTGTGGTGGGACAGGTACAGTAGGGGTGGAGGAAGGCACATAGGCATTGACAATATTGAGGAACATACCTTTGAGTGTGATTGTGATGGCGTGTACGTCGAAATGCCGGTGGGGTACGGGTAGCCGGTGGTGGTGTCCTCAGGTCCAATAGGTAGCCCTGGTGGAGACAGCACCGTCACAGGAGCGGGATCGGCTCGCGGCAGGTGTACAGGTTGATGCACCACGTATCGTGAAGATGAGGCAGGACTTCGCTCAGGGGCAGCAGGACACACCAGGGCAGGCCCGGTAGGCGCTACATCAGTAGTGAAGGCCGCCGGCGGTTGAGTAGGCCGTGAGCAGGGGGGCTCACAGGGGGACTACTAGCTTGTGTCAAACCAGAAGAGAGGAGTGACTTGGTGGTAACAGAGGGCAAGAGTAGGTCGGAGATGGTGGTACAGAGTGTAGCGAAGAGTTGTTCAATACGGTTGGTAAATTCTTGGAAGAGGGATATGATCTGTGTCATGTCACTGGAGGGTGGTTGTGGGGGGGCCACCGGTGATAGCACAAGGCCTGACAGCATCAGAGTAGAGACGAGGAGGAGGCCCAGTAGTAGTAGTTGAGTTAGGAGACAGCCGAGACTGCTGTGTTGCAGCCTGGTGAGGCCAGGCAGGGGCAGGTGTTGTTAAAGAAGGCGTTTCTGGAAACAAAGAGGATGCAAAGCGAGGCGGCCCGGTAGACTGGGGGGGGGCGTTATGGTAGACACGGCCTTCAGGGAGGCTTTTCCCCTGGGACAGAACGGGCGATTGGGACATTGCCGTGAGTCAGCATTGTGCCGGCTGCCACAGTTACAACACCTGGGTTCAGCTACATAGCCCACACCACCCCTATTAAGGTGGTCTTTGATTTTCTGGGCACAGGTGGCGGAATTATGGTTACATGAACAGAAGCGACATCTGGGACGATCACGTCGGCAGCAGGCAGTGAAGGTGTGATCCCAATGAGAACAGATAACACAAAAAGCAGGCCCAGGATGATAGGGTTCTGCATAAAGTGGAGGGAGGATTGGGTGAGCCTCCACAGTGGTTGGGCATTCTCTTCCCTTCCACTTGACAATGACAGCAGCTTGTAGGTTGTTCCCCCAATAATGTCGACATATTCTGAGTATACTAAAATTAAAGTCAGTCGCATCTTCGATGTCAGCGTATAGGGGGAGTTGTTTCACTAGGATGTGGCAACATTCATCAGCATCTACTAGGGGGGCACCAGGACAACCTCATCAAAGCCATCAGTACTAAGTGTTTCATACATCATAGATCTCAGGAGTCTGACACTTGATAAAGTTCCGGTTCTTACCTTATCGGAATTGAATGTTGGAACCGTGTTGTCTGTAGTACTTCATCATCCAATTAAAGCGTTCCTCTACGGTTTTCAGTGAGTCCTTGGGGAAGTGCAGATTCAGCTTACTTTGCTGGTTGGCAGAGGGCAGAGTGATAGGGTCCGTAGCATTGGTGTTTCCACTCCGGCTAGTGTTTCCCATAGAAACATTACCGTCACTGTTATAATCACTGGACTCTTGAAGGGTTTTGGATTCGGTATGACCAGGCGAGTTGGCGATGGCATCCATATCAAAGATGTGTGTGTCCATGAGACAGCCTCTTCTGGGACGTTTATGTCGAACCCCCATGCTGGCAAAAACTTGCCGGCTTAGGGGTCCTTTGTGGGACTATCCGGAAGTTAAGAGCACCTATGGCCACGTCTGTCCCCTTATGTGGTTATGCCACGACGGTATGGGGTGATTATTGTGGATGGGGCAGGGTGGAGCCATTTGGGGTGACGAGGGACGGGGTGGGAAGAGTGTAAGAGCACCATTTGTATTATATAAATATTTACCCAAATGTATAATACCAAATTATTCAATTGTGCCTTAGCTGTTGATGTTATGCATGTCTGAGGTTGCAGTTCCTTCGGGGAGCGAGTGAGGGCAGGCTGAGGTCAGCGTATGTTAGCACAACAAGATATCTGACGCATTTCCTTTATCACACTCTCGAGGCCTGCCACTCCCTCTCTCTCTTGGTCAGAGGAATCCAGGTAAAAAAGTCACAGGTAAAAAAGTCACAGAAAAAAAGTCACAGGAAAAAAAGTCACAGGAAAAAACGTCACAGGAAAAAAAGAAAAGTTAACTATCGAATTCTCAAATTTTTTAAGGTTAATATGTCAATCAGTTTCAGTAAAGGAAAATGCAGAACTGATGGTAAATTAATGAGTTTCGCTTAAAAATTATAAAATAGAACAAAAACATTAGATTCTTTGTATAATCGGGCAACATCAACCTGGAAGAATTAAGGTAAGTCAACTGAGGTCACTGTGACCACAGGTTGTCTAATCCAGTAAAAAATTTTGAGCAGATGTTTGATGTGAGGTCACGTTGAGATGACCTGTCTACATACAGTATATAACCTTGTTCCTCTCTATAGTATGTCAGTATCCCTGAAGACAGCGTGAATAGTGGAAATCTCGGAGCTCAGTGCTGTTGTGGATCAACAATACTTGGATTTAGTGAAAAATATTATTCTTAGTGAAAAATAATTTTTACTCCCCCTGCCATGGAAATGATTGACAGTAATAAGCGTGGTTCAAAAATCTGCTACAATGGGTTCATGTATACCAAACATGTCACTCGCAAAAGCAAGTTGTGGTGGAAGTGTGTCAAAAGATCCAGTGGTCACTGTCGGGGCAGTATGACAACAGACCTACAGAGAGAAAATCCAGCGATAGGTCAGCCTCACAACCATGCCCCAGATGAGACCCAAATCCGTCTTGCCAAAGTACGCAACTGGATGAAAGACCAAGCTACCAACACTCGAGACAAGCCAGCTCAGATTTTTAGTCATGGTGTGAGCCAGTGTGATGATGACGTACGCTCACTTATACCCTCTGCTGACATTTGCAAACGAACTCTGCGTAACCAACGGCCTACTCCTCCTATACCACGTCTGCTAAAAGATCTAGGTGAACTTCCTACAGTTTTCTCAGTTTATGGTACTTAAATAAACTGTGACTGACTTGAATATTTTTTTTGATTACCTGACTTTCTTTCTTAACCAAAATTGTGACTTTTTTTCTTGTGCCTCTATTACCGGCCACCATAAATTAATTGTGACTTTTTTCCTTGCCAAAATTGTGACTTTTTTTCCTGTGACTTTATTACCGGCCACCGGTCAGAGAGATCAAACTCATATTTTTGTTTCCCAGAGAACACCTCACTTAAGAGTTCTCCTATGTACGTACACTAAGACATTTCCCCTAGTAGAGAAGGTATAATATATTCTCAACTGAACTAAGGACCTGTGGAACTATATTTTCTACAATAAAGAAGAACCAACAAAGTGTTTACTTCAGCCCTGCCACTTATTAATTCCAGAACTAATATATATATATATATATATATATATATATATATATATATATATATATATATATATATATATGTATATATGCAAGTAAATCACAGTAGGCGCGTGTTTTTCTTTCCTTGTGGTTATCAACATATACCTAGATCACGCTATATATATATATATATATATATATATATATATATATATATATATATATATATATATATATATATATATATATAAATCACAGTAGGTGCGCGTGATCAGGTATATATGTTGATAACCACAAGGAAAGAAGAAAACACGCGCACCTACTGTGATTTACTATATATATATATATATATATATATATATATATATATATATATATATATATATATATATATATATATATATACCCTGAAGATGTATAAAGCGCTTGGGAACTTCGTGTTTTCTTCTTTCCTTGTGGTTATCATATATATATATATATATATATATATATATATATATATATATATATATATATATATATATATATATATATCTTGATAAAATCACACAGGAAAAGGGAAACAACGGAGCACCTTAGCTTTCGTCTTTATTCAAGACATCTTCAGAGGCAACTGGATTACATGGACAGAGAGAGGCTTAAATATACAGGGTGACCTTAAAAACATGAGGTTAGGTCATAATGATGTCATCCACTAATCCCCACACCAACACAAACGTAGAGCTTTAGAGAAGGGGGGTGACGTGACTAGTCAGGTCAGGTCAAAAATAAGGGACCCACTAAATAACTATCATACATCTAGATCAAAGGTTTTCAAAGCATTTTTAACCTTGGGCCACTGACAAATAAATTTATGTAACATATTATCAGTTTTGAACTGACCATCACTAAGGTTTATTGATTTTAATTCCTTAATCAAACTAGCCTTACCACATAATCCTTATCTCCAACACACTGCCAAAGTGAGAGCTCTTGAACACATACATAACCTACAGACTGATAATAACATCACACAGACCTTCTTCACTGACGGCTCTCTTATCTGTGGGAGGGCTATAGTGCTGTTATTGTGACTCAGCCGAACGGTAATGTAATAGAGAAAGGAGCTTGAATTAGTAACTGAACATCCACTCTACAAACTAAACTATTTGCCATACTCACAGCCCTGAAACTTGTTGAAGACACTGCCACTGACAATCTCATCATCACTGATTCCTTATCTTCACTACTTGCTCCTGATACCCTAAACTCAGATTGCCACCCGCTTGCCTCTGAAGCCATCCACAAGCATACGAGTATGTGTCTTGTTCACGGGGATATCAGGGTAAAGCTGTTGTGGATCCCCTCTCGCATAAGCGTTAGTGAACATGATAGAGTTGATGCCTAAGCTAAAGTCACGTCCAACAATGACAATGTTGAATACAATCTAGGACTGTCAAACAGTACCGTAACTATAATGAGAAAGGAACTTGCTAATGAATATAAAGCCAGTAGACAAGTGCAAACAGGCAGCTAGTCAATCCTTTGTTTACCATGATGAGGAGTAACAAGATCACTTGATTACAAGATGTAACCGCTAGACTATGGTTACGATTTAAGTATGCCCCTCAAGCAGATGTGAACAAAACTAAATGTAAAGTGTGCGTCCAGACATATGGCCACACACTCCAACACTACATCTTAGACTGAAAAGAGTAGAACCTTATAGGGATTCAAGCACACTGTGTATGTAATGGCACGGCACTTTATCTCTGAAGACAAGATAGCTAATAGACTAAGGCTGTATCCACACTTCGCATCTAGTGCCTAATCAAAATTCTTAGTACCGACTTAGCAAACAATATTCTGGAAATACTCTGTAACATTCATTGCCATAATATCAAAATCATTTGGGTCTGATAAACACCCTTTGCAGCCTCTACTCTGTAGTCCTTTTTACGCTACCGCTCACATGGTGATTATGAGGTGTACAATAGCTGTTGTCCGCAGCAAAACTCAAATTAAATTCAGTGAGCAGTGAACAGTGATGGATGAACATTAAGGAATGAACATTGACCAGTGAAAAGAGGGATAAACATTGACCAGCGATCAGTGAGGGATGGACAGTGAGCAGTGAGCAGTGAGGAATGTGCAGTGACCAATGAACAGTGAGGATTGAACATTGACCAGTGAGCAGTGAGGTATGAACAGTAACCAGTGAATAGTGAAGGATAAACAGTGACCAGTGAGTAGTGAACTGTGAGGGATGAACAAGTGAGAGATGAACTTTGACCAGTGAGAAGTGAACAGTAAGAAATGAACAGTGAATAATGAGATATAAACAGTGACCAGTGAGAAGTGAACAGCCTCGGATAAACATTGACCAGTGAGAAGTGAACAGCGTCGGATGAACATTGACCAGTGAGAAGTGAACAGCGTCGGATGAACATTGACCAGTGAGAAGTGAACAGCGTCGGATGGACATTGACCAGTGAGAAGTGAACAGTGAACAATGCGGGATAAAACAATGACCAGTGAGGAGTGAACAGTGAGAGATAAACTTGAACCAGTGAAGGATGAACTGTGAACAGTGAGGAGTGAATAGTGCAGAATAAATAATAACCAGTGAAAAATAAACAGTGAGACAGGAACATAGAGAAGGAGCAGTGAGACAGGAACATTGATCAAAGCGAAGAGAACAAGGAGCAGTAAACCGTGAACAGTGACCGACTAGCAATGAAAAGCGAACTAGAAGCGAGAGAAAACCCTGGGAGATGAAATACTGCGAAAACACGTACAATAATGAAAGAGGAAGGAAGAGATACTAGGAAAAGTAACATGGAAGGAGGAGAGACTGAGGAATGAAATTTCTTGACATGGTGAGAGTGAGTATTGACGCAGCTATGAAGTGTAAGGAGTGAGTAGAAAGAATAAGCGATGGCATAACGATATGACTGGAGCGATGCCATAACTTAGTTTCACGGTGTCCATGATGTGTTTGTGTTGCCTCTCATGTTATTGGTGTCTCCGTGTGTCCGGTAATTGTCTACTACTGCTACACTGTGGAAGCTGCACAGGAACAACCAGTGGTGGATTTGCTCAACTGGTTGCATTGGGTAGGATGTTCACTATATAAATGTAAAATGCATTTTCCTTTGACCCCCGACCTTTGAACGAAGGTCACATTCCCTGCAGGGGATATTCAACATGGCAAGCATGGAATATCAGCTCTTGTTCTTATCAAGAATGTAAACATAATACCTCCACCCTGATGTAATATATATTTTTCACAAAGTGTCCCTTTTTTCTCTTTGTTCTGAATTAGTGGTTCTCATTTTCACCTGAAGAGATACACCGCTCCTGATCAGTTCACCCTATGCCTACATTCCAATAGGTTACTCAGATATCTGCACTGCTCCCATCATGTAAGTTAGGGCTAAAGTGAGGTTCAAAAATGTCTGACCCAGCTTGGAGAAGGTCGTGCCCAATCGTGCTCCCGTTAGAGACCAAGGAAAATGGCCGCTTTGGATCGTTGTGTCGTGGGGGAAGAGGAGGGGAGTGTGGGGAAAGACGACCTCCTTGCCACTCTGTTAAGGCAGCTGGGGCAGTTGAGGAGTGAGGTTGACACTCTAAAGGGGGAAAATGAAGCCCTCAGGACGGAACTCCTTCAGGTAGGTGTCCTGCCTAGCAGGACACCTGCGAAGGAGGAGCAGGCGTGGAGAGTGGTTGTCTCCAAGGGGACTAGGGTCAGGCTCAGGAAAGCTGACCAGGGTGTGGAGTGTAGTAAACCTTACCAGGTGCTGCAGGAAGCTGGCGAGGAAGAGAAGAGGCAGGACGGTATGGATCAAGGAGAGGAAAGGGCAGTTGTACAAACCCTGCCCACAGGTAAGGTCGTGGTAGTTGGTGACAGCCAGGTGAGGTTTATGGATAGGGCTTTTTGTGCGAGAGATAGGAAACGTAGGACTAGGGTGTGTTTTCCTGGGGCTGGGATAGGGCATGTAGCCGAGAGGTTAGACAGGGTTTTGTCAGGGGAGGGTACCAATCCAGTAGTGTGCCTTAGTGTGGGAGGAAACGACATAGGTAAGGTTAGGAGTGAGGAACTTTTCAAGAGGTATAGGGAGGCGCTGGGGAAGATTAGAGATAGGGGAGGGATCCCGATAGTATGTGGTGTCTTGCCTAGATGAGGGGTTGGTCGTGAATGGCTGTCCAGGGCAATTGCTATAAATTGCCGACTGGAAAAACATTGTGCAAACAATGGTTGGACATTCATTGATAACTGGCAACGATTCTATGGCAACGACTACCTGTACTGTCGCGACGGAGTACACTTGTCTCGTGAGGGGGTAAAGACGTTGTCTGCATCCCTGGAGCGTGAAATTGTCACTCCGAAGGGGGGTTTCGCCAGTAGAGAGGGGTCGGGGAAAGTGGGAGTCAAAAAACAAGCAGGTCCTGGGAAGTAAAATTAGTTGCTCAGGACAAGGGGTAAAACAGGACCAGGGAAGAGTAGGTTTAAATGTATACTATACAAACAGTAGGGGCAGTTCAAAAGATATCGAAGTCTTTAAACTGCTAAGAGAACATATGGGCACGGGGGTGGAGGAGACTGCAGTGGGAGCGGGTAAACAAAGTGAAAGACTACAGGGAAATAGTGTTAGGAATGATGACAAAACTAAATTAGACAGGGAGTTTAAAACTAAACGCGGTAAGGGGAGGACTCAGAACACGACTAACTTAAATGTATACTACACGAACAGTAGAAGTATGAGAAACAAAATGGATGATATTAGGGCCTTGGTATGTACCGAAAAAATCGATATAATTGCATTCACTGAAACATGGATCAACCTAGACACACGTGAGTTACCAGTCGAATACCAAATTGCGGGTTACAAACTGTTCCATACCGATAGGCAGACCAGGAAAGGAGGCGGAGTAGCAATCTATGTTAGGGATAATCTGAAGTGTGAAATAAATAAGGAAATAAAAACTGAGAGGAATACAGAAACAATTTGGATAGAATTAAGCGACGGTCGGGAAAAATTAATCACAGGAGTAATATATAGACCCCCCAATCTTGATAGCGTCAATGAGCGACTTATCTGGGATGAAATGCGCAGGGCTTCCATACACAACAAAGTCTGTATAGTAGGCGACTTTAACCTTGGCCAAATAGATTGGACTGACCTTACGGGTAACTCAGAAACAGAGGATTTTCTCGAGACGATCCAAGACTGTTTCCTAAGTCAACATATAACCGAACCCACACGGGGTAATAATATACTGGACTTAGTTCTGTCGAACAGAGAAAACCTAATTAGCAATGTCGAGGTAGGGAACGAACTTGCAAACAGCGATCACAAAGAAATTCTATTCCAGTTAGATTTTCAGGGCAGACGTAAGGAAAATTCCAATAAAGAACCAGATTTCAGAAGGGCAAACTTTGACAGTTTAAAGAGGCAGCTGAGAGAGGGGGTGTCGCGCTTGGCTGTGAACCTGACAGATGACACCGACCTGATAATGAGATCTCAGATTGCCGAGTTCCACGACAATTTAAATAGTGAGTTACTTAATGCACAAAGGCAGAACATACCATACAAAAAACTCAGATCAGACAACAAAGACCCTATATGGATAACAAATTATTTAAAGAACATCATTGGCCAAAGGAAGGCTATAGGTAGAAGGATAAATCGTGGCGAAATTCACCTCCGGGACAATTATAGGGTATTGGCAAGTAGGGTTAAAATCGAGATAAGGAAAGCAAAGAGGAATAATGAGGTAAGGATAGCAAGGGAGGCGAAGACAAATCCCAAAGGATTCTACCAAATGTATCAAACTAAAACACGAGAAAAGATTGGACCAATACGGTCAGACTTCGGCGAGCTCACTGATAACGACGGAGAAATGAGCAATAATTTGAATAAATATTTTTCAACAGTTTTCACCACCGAAAATTTAAACATGATACCCGAGGCACCGACTCTATTCAGAGATAGTGAAGAAAACAAATTAAGTGAGATAGTAGTGACTAGTAACGATGTTAGTAAGCAAACAGACAAACTAAAGCCTAATAAGTCACCTGGTCCCGATGAGATATTTGCCAGAGTATTAAAGGAATGTAAGGAAGAGCTTAGTATGCCCTTAGCAAAGTTGTTTAACATGTCATTAAAAACAGGTGTAGTACCAGAATCCTGGAGGATAGAGAATGTAATACCGATTTTCAAGAAGGGGGATAGATCACTATCCTCTAACTACCGCCCAATCAGTCTAACATCAATAGTAGGCAAATTACTGGAAGCAATCATTTCAAACTCTATTCAAAATCACCTGGAGAAGCACTGATTGATCAATGATTCCCATCATGGCTTCACAAGCGGACGTTCTTGCCTAACTAATCTATTAACATTCT